TTAAATAGGCTTTGAAATATGTATGATGATTCCCGGTGATGAATATTGAAAATACATATGGGTGAATGTAATTAGTTCTTCTAGTTAGGTTGGACATGACTAAGTTCTTAACAGGTTAAGGTTTTGAAGATCAGTAGGTGCTAGGAATGAATTTGAAACTTGCCAAGTATTATAATGTACATTCTTGTGTCTTGAGATAGAGTATGGTATATCTAAAATCTAAGTTATATGTTAAGTGATCAGATTAAAGAGATCATGATACATACATATGGAGGATTTCAAAGATATAATGATTCAAAGGAAGAAGAATGTTTGCGGAATTGAGAGTATGAAATGAGAACCAGACAACCCAATTCATACGAGGAGTAAAGTACTTAAATTTGAGGATGAATTTTCTTTTAAGGAGGGTAGGATGTAATACCCCAAAAAAAAAAGAGTGGACTTTCTTATTTCAATGGGAAAAAAAAAATTTATTATGGTGAAGAATAATTTGACAGCTCTATTTCTAGTTTCAAGCTTACCAATTTGATTTTGAGTTAGTCACCAACGGCAGTGATTAATTCCCTTAAGCTAGAAACATTGTGAGCTGGGTAAATATTAAATCAATTAATTTTGAGTCTTGGATCAAATTACCATTGGTGGTAATTAATTTCCAATTTGTCAAAATAACTTTGGGTGATTGATTTAATTTTACCCCACCTGTTTTTGAATACTATGGACTATTCTCCATTTTTAGAAAATAAGGCCCATACACTATTTGTAGAGAAAGCCCGATAGTCAATGGGGCTAGCACGTATAATTTAGGCACAAACAATGCCCCTCTAAGTCTGAATCGTTTTGTTAAAAATGATTTTCAAACTTAATGATAAACCCATTTAATGATGCGCGCCATTTTGTTCCATTACTTTAGCTCACATCTGTTCATTGATTGGATGGTTTGGGAAAGTGGGTATTAACGGCTACGTAATTTTGGGCATCTCTTCTCCTCCCACAATCTCCTTCCTTCAGATTATAAAACTAATTTCTTCATTGTTTGACGAAATCATCAAACCTAAGTTCTTTAAACTCTCGATTAATCCCAAAATTTCTTGACTTTCTTGAAAATTTTCAAACCTCTCCTCAATTCTGCCTGAAATTTATGATGGCCTCCCCAAAAACTCGTGCTAGAAGCTCTTTTTCTTCATTCCCTCCTCCTCATATCTCAGGCGAAGGTGTCGACAAACATGCTATTGAGATTAGAAGCAAGCTTCATCCATATTCTAAGAAGAATTTGGATGCAAATATCCTTCATTTGCTTGGAAATGCTCTCGTTCTGGGTCCTGTCTGGTTTAGGAAAGTTCTTGAGGATATGGCCAAGCTTTTTAAGGAAGATGTCGAAGTTCCACTCTGCCATTGTAATCATTCTCTAACATTTCATTCCTGGGTCATCAAGAATCTGAGCAGATCATACCCTTCCAGTAAAGGGAGGAATAGTTGTGTGAAGTGGTCAGACTGGATTGACCGACTCTCTCTCCAAGGTATGAATGCCATTGGAAGAAAGCTGGTATTTATGATGCTTTGATTTTGTCCAAGCACTCAATTAATACAGATGAAAATCTGCTAGCTGCTGCTATGAGTTTTTGGTATTCTTCTACAAACACTTTCGACTTCCGTGTTGGTCCTAGGATATATTCCATTCTAAAACTCATGTATTTGATCGCGTTCAGTGTACTTCTTCTCCTGCAAGCACCTACACATATATCTTGGTGTCATTACACTTAATGACTTGATACCTCATTATTCTCTACATATAGAGAAGATATTATGTGTACTGGTCTTGGCGGAATATCAATGTCAAATTGATACTCCTATGACCAGGAACATGTTTAGAATTAGGGATCATGATAAGTTTCGGTGTATGCAATCTCATTACATAGTTTTCATATCCACTTATATATTCCTAAGACTTTAGTTGTTTTGTATTTCATAAGATAACATGATCATGAATTAAAACAATTGATTTTGCCCATAAATAACTTAAATAAGTCATTACATAAGATTTCCTTAACAGTAACTATTACATAATTAGTTGGATTTAAGGGCATATTTTTACACACAAACAACTAAAAATCCATATTTTCTTCAAACCATAGCAAGAGAAAGGTATAGGATTTTACCAGAAGATATTAGAGGTCATATGATTATATTAGTGTTGAGGCCCAAAATATCCACAGTTGGGCCTGAATAAATTTCTGGCCCAATACGACACATAACTTGGGAAGAAACCCAATTTGGGTACCCAAGAGTTCATCATATACGCTTGCACACACGCCAGGCCAAGCAAATAAGTAACACGCCACGCTACAAGCTTAAGTGAGCCCAAGCCACGCGAATGCCTGGGGCTTGCTAAGCGGGTTGTGGTATGGATGGTTACGAGTTTTCATGAGGCCCATTGATGAGCCGAGAAATGGAAGTTTTGGGCTGCTTAGGAGCTCCGAAACTCAAGCCCATTTCTTGAGCCCAAATATGTGGGTAAGCATAAAGGAGAGAAAATAGCCCATTACTTTAGAAAAGATAGCCTATCACTTTGGGAAGTTGGTCCATCCCTTTAGTAAACTAGCCCATTACCTTAAAGAATGGCCCAAGTGACCAACAAAATATATGAAAGTCTCCAGCACATGGCTGGAGACAAAACCATGACAAAAGCCAAAAGCCACTCACATCTGCAGGCTGCTAGAATCTCCAGCACATGGCCAAACACAAACCCAACGCAAGCCATCATAAAAACCAAGGAATACTTGAGCAAAACACCCTTCAAACCAGTGTACATACCCATTTCTTTTCCCCCATTAGATCTAGCTATAGAAGAGGGGAGAAAAAAAGGAAGAAAGATGGTTGAAAATAAGAGTCTCCCATTGAAACAGCTGCGGGAAAAGGGCCTTGAGCTCCCAAAAATCATTGATTTTGTGCAAATGGGCAGAGTGGATTTCACCAAAATAGGAGGATTGAAGAGATGAGGGGAGAAAGGAAGGGAAAGACTTGGCCAAATTAGATAGAAACCATTAGGGTTTCTTGGAAAATAGTAGCTTCCAGTGCCTATAAAAAAAAGCATTTCCTACCCATTATCACAACCCACATCTAGAGAGCACGCTTCATCTCTCATCTTTGAAACTTTGCAATTTCATGCTCAATTCATCTTCCTTCTCCTTAGTTTTCCCTCTTGGTAGGCTGTACTAACACTTGACAGAGCCTCTGTCAAGCTATCGGAAAAACACCCATTGCCTTCATCTCTCTGTCCCCCTTTTTCTCCTCAACGAATCCTCTTAGAATCCATTCCCCCATGCCTTAAAAACTCTGTTTCTCATAGGAAGTCGCAGCCATTTCTCTCTTTCATGCTAAACTCATGAATGCTTAGCTCACATGCCACAAGCTTCTCATGCCAAGCCAAGAATTTATCTGTAAGCTGTTGTTATTTTTGTTGGTGAAGGTAACCAAGGTGTTTCCTAAGGCTTCACTATCCTTTCGAAGCATTCTTGGGGCTTGATCTTCGAACTCAGGTTCAAGGGGAAATTTCATCCATTTTGCTATTTACGGGTAGCCCAGACCCGTAGTAACTGCCGAAAGAAAAAAGCCCATACAATTAGAATATGAGAAAAACACACCCCTTCAGTTATATATCCAAGCATTTCTTTTTAATTTGAAAAATAATCTACAACATCGTATCAAAATAATTACTAAAAGTTGTTCTCATTATACTATTTATTTAGTTAGCATTAACATGGTAGACTATAGAGAACTACATTTAGAGCATAACTAGAAAACCTATTCAATTACTCCAAAATTATTAGCATTAACATGGTAGAATATAGAGAACTACATTTAGAGCATAAGCAGAAAACCTACTCAATTACTCCAAGATTATTAGCAGTGTATGGTTACTTAAGTCAACTTTATGTTGAAAGTAGCAATCACTTGTCTTAATTTTCTTCCAAACTAAAAGAAGTAATAGATTTTGATCTCCCTCTCTGGAAAAATGTAAAATTAGATTTCACTAATATACTTCTAGAATAGTTTAAAGATAATTTTTACCTATATTGAGCAAGGCACAATATAATTATTTCTCATGATGAGTTGCTTAGTTCCAATAAGCAGGCTATTAAAAAATACAAATGAGCAATATTAGCTAAGATAATGACAACTCATACTGGAACAGCTTGGGAGAAGAAGCAATACATAAGATAGACAATATTGATGGAAGCATAATGAAGCCATAGAAGCATATGCATGAAGTTCATGTGAAGAGATCATCCCAGCAACAATCCAAATATATAGAAAGCAAGAAGAAGTAATCCAATTCTTTGGCTCCATATGACAAGTAAGAAGCAAGACTTTTGGCACCATATGAAAATAAGGAAAACTCATTAAGCAGTCTAAAAATAAATAAAGGCATTTTTGTCCAACCACTATAAAATACATATGTATATGTTCTTTTGAATGAATATAGCCTCGAATGGGCTGAATCCTAATGGCCCGTTTGGTTCATGGGAAAGGAGGTTTGGGGATGGGAAATCAATTGCTTTCTCATATTTGGTAAGTTCAGGCATGTGAAATGATTGCCTGGCACATGGGAAAGTAGGAGGGAAAGTGAAGCCCTCCTCCCAACTTGGGTTTTGTTTTCCCGCCTCATGAGAAAGTTTGGGAAAATGAGCCAACATTCAATGAACATTTTTCATGACCATTTTGTCCCCATTAACAATTTAAAATTACAGTATATCATTAAATGTACTCTTTTTTTATTTGATTTAATATGGGTAGAATTGGAAAATTATACAAACTTTGTTTTTCATTCTTATTCAAAACAAACATGGGAAATGAAATAAAATGAAATCTCTCAGTTACGTTTTTGACATTACTACATGTGGGAAATGATTTTCCCTCAAATCCATTCCGTGAACAAAAGGGCTAAAGCCCAAATAAAAAACCAATTGGCACTCAACCGGCTAGTAAAAACGAAAGGAAAGGAAACAGAGCAGGGTTTTAGAGGGTTTTAACCTTTGACAACAAACGTCTTCCCTTCCCTTTGTCTGTGTGTTAAGTCTTAACAACTAGAACCCTTCAACAAGGCATCGGCCATGGGCGTTGCACAAGACTCCTCGGCCGACCCTCCAAAGAACAACAAGCAAAAGTACTCTCTCTCTCTCTCTCTCTATATATATATATATATATATATCTTGTACAAATTGTTATTTGTTGATTATCAATAACAGTTTCTGGCAAGCGTTTAGGGCTTGGTGTGATTCTAATTTTCGATCTCTTACTATTCAAATTAGGTCTAATGATGGAAAGCAAATTCCTCATTCGGCCATTGATAAGGAATTCCTTGCCGCTCCTATCAAATCTGCCACGGACAAATTCGCACTTCTGCCGGAGTTTCTAAAGGTTTGAATACTGTCAGATATTTATTTCTAAATATTGGTATTGTTGTTATTGCCATCGTTGCTATTGTTATTATTTGCATTCGGTAGTTTAAAAGAATTCATATATAGGTGAGAGGGCTGGTAAAGCAACATTTGGACTCGTTTAATTACTTTGTGAACACGGGAATCAAGAAAATTGTTCGTGCCAATGATCGGATTGTGTCTGGCGTCGATCCAAGTATTTACCTTAGGTTGAGTACTTTTTTTTATTGATTTTTCTTATGGTTCGGATTGTGTCTAGGCGTGCCAAATTATGTTTCCCTCTTTTCGGCCGGGTAGGCCAATTGAAGGGGTTGTTTTTGTTTTTGTTTTTGTTTTTGAAATATGACTAAATAAGCTTGTTGCAGGTTCCCCAAAGCCGGCGGAGCATCCTTCCTCTTCTCACTCGGTCGAGGACGTGCAATCGGCCATCACTTCATCCGCCGCTCCGGTAAACTTATATCTCTGCATTTTTCATTCATTTAATTTCGAAGGGCAAAAACTCACCATTGTGCCCAAAAATGTAGGAAACTCAACCTTCCACCCTTGAGAAGGGAATTGGGGCGCAAGTCATGACTTCGATGGGCGAGGATGAGGTAAATCCATCTCCTTAGTCATTTGAATTTTCTCTTACTTCTTTTGTGCTTACAATATTTTTGAACTTAGTCGGCCGAGATCAATACCACGGGGTACCCGGAGGATGTTTCCATGGGGTCACACGAGATTTTTCCCATGCCCGATGATCACGCCCATGAGCACGTGGCAGAGCTGACTGAGGAAGACTTCCTACACGCTCCGAACTCTCAGGTTCATTGAAATTTCATACTTTTAAAATTTCTTCTACACTTGCCCCCAATTCCTTAATTCCAATGTTTGGACATGTTAGCGGGCCATTTTTGGCCCTGAACTTTCTTCGGTCGACACCACGGCCATTGAGGCCGAACTTCAGCCCATTTTTGCCATGAGCTCGGACACTTTCTTGACTCGAGGCGCCCCGAAGTGGCCCAACTTTTCAGGTGATCTTACTCTCCCTTAATATTTTTTCAAAGCTTTATGTTTGTTAGAGAGGGCACCATGATGCAAGGTTGGGCATTCCAATCCTTTGGACTTTCTTGGGCCACCTCAACTTCTTTGGCCCCTTCCATTTGCACTATGGACTCAACCTCATCGAACACATCTCTGTCCATAAAATTAGGTTGATCCGGCTGAGCTTCGAAAAATAATGGGAGTGTAACAACCATGGCATTTACCTCGTCAAAGTCTCCAAACTTTACTTTGACCTTGCCCGCTCTTAGCTCGTTCTCAAACTTGGCCATCTCTTCATTGCTTCTTTCTCTAAGTGCTCCATAGCTTCCTCCGACAAATCCTCTAAGTATTCGCCGTCCGCATACTCCTCATCCCCATAAAGCTCTTCGTCTTCAGCCGCCAAACCTTCGAGATTTTCCAAGGGCTCATTAGCTTCTTCCTCGGCCGTGTGCTCGGCCTCTTCTTCCACCACATTAGTTTCGGCGTCGACCATAACTTGGTCTTCTTCCGCCCTAGGTTCACTTACTGTCTTATGGGGCTCATCCCCAACTTCTTAGACCATGTTTTGGTCATTTTCTTCTTTCTTCTCAACCTTGGTGGGCTGAGCCACTTTGGTCACGATCGGGGCCTTAGCGACCGGAGGCTTGACTTTTGGTGGAGCCGTCCTTGCCTTTTGAACCTTAAGACGCTTATCTCCTCTCTTCTTGGTCGGCTCACTAACTTCCATTTTAGAGTTATTTGCCTCAAAAGCCCCAGTCAAATGGGCCTCCAATTCCGAGATTGGCTCTTCCGGGGCCGTTACCACGACTCGGCCATTTACCCATTCTCGACGTATTTTCATTTCCTCGGCCGATATATATATATATATATATATCTTGTACAAATTGTTATTTGTTGATTATCAATAACAGTTTCTGGCAAGCGTTTAGGGCTTGGTGTGATTCTAATTTTCGATCTCTTACTATTCAAATTAGGTCTAATGATGGAAAGCAAATTCCTCATTCGGCCATTGATAAGGAATTCCTTGCCGCTCCTATCAAATCTGCCACGGACAAATTCGCACTTCTGCCGGAGTTTCTAAAGGTTTGAATACTGTCAGATATTTATTTCTAAATATTGGTATTGTTGTTATTGCCATCGTTGCTATTGTTATTATTTGCATTCGATAGTTTAAAAGAATTTATATATAGGTGAGAGGGCTGGTAAAGCAACATTTGGACTCGTTTAATTACTTTGTGAACACGGGAATCAAGAAAATTGTTCGTGCCAATGATCGGATTGTGTCTGGCATCGATCCAAGTATTTACCTCAGGTTGAGTACTTTTTTTTATTTGATTTTTCTTATGGTTCGTATTTCCTTGTTTTAGTAGGAATAAAATTTTCCTGGTTGTGTGATTGTGCTTGCTTAGTTGGTAATCTATCTCTAATGTCATTGCTTGAACTTCAGTGATGAAATTTCATCAGGAAAATACATACAAATGAAACAATTAAAATGTATGTAAGCTGTTTCCAAGATCTTCTATTCAGTCTATTGACTTGTAAAGGAACATTCTAAAATAGAAGAAAAGCTACTGAAACCCCAAATCATTCAATTTCGTAAAAAACTAACATTCTAGCTTATTGGGAATGAGGAATCCCCAGACTTATTGGCAATTGGAGCACTTTTAGAGTTGGAAGTCTATAAAGTCACGGGAAAGATGTGCACAAGGGAAATTTCCCTATCTGCGAAGTCTCCTAAAACCAAATCTGTTCCCATTCCCCACCAGTAAACAGAGAAAGGCAAGAAAGAGCTAAAACCCAGAGACATGTCTTTCCAGGCTTGTTTTAATTTCTGTTAAATTGTATCAGAAATCTGGAAAGTGAATATTACCCTATATAAAGGCTGTTTAAAGGGTTTGAACGTTTCAGGCAGTTTAATATGTACTTGTCCTTTTTGTGAAGAACATTTCAGGCAGTTTAATATCCACTTTTCCTTTGGTGCAGGTTTAAAGATATTTCTATTGGTGAGCCCTCGCTTACAATGGATGGTGTCACTGAAAAGATTGCTCCCCATACATGCCGCTTATCTGATATGACGTAAGATCTGTTTGATAGACTTCTCATTTAATTTGTACTGGATTGCACTTTATTAATCGCAGTGGTGCGATTTGTGATTTCGTATTTTTGGTTTGTCCAATTTAATAGAAGTTACTTATTCGTTTCCCTGTTTTTATTCTCCTTTGGGTTCCATTTGGTTGAAGTGATTTTAAATCTAGGGATTTAGATGACATTATAAGGTTAAATTGTTTGTTTAGACTAGTGCAATCTATGTATGCTAAGATTTGAATAAGAATATAGATTCCAAATGACTACTTGCATATAATCATTTCAAATGTATTACATCTAGTTATTTCAAATACATTCAATCTTATGTTTTATAGTTATTATTTTTATTTTTATTACAGCACATTTAGCTTTCTTGTCCTAATCCTGTCTTTCAAGTACCTTCATCCAAACGGAGCCTTGGTTTTGCATCATGTATACCTTGTGTAGCTGTGTCACATCCTGAATATTACTTAAAATGTATAATGAAATAGAAAAGAGACTAAACTGTACTGAGGTCTTGAAATTTATTGTTGGCTTAAACAAAAATTATACCGTGAAATATTAGGTGTGTTATGATTCTCTACATGGAGTTCCAAATTTGTAGGTTTTTTTGTGAACTTTATTCTTAAAGAATTTTTTTAAATAAAAATTTATCTTGTTTGCAGTGATTTCTTATCCCTCTTTCTTTAATTTCAGATTAGTCGAAAATTGATTTTTGTGTTTGACAATTTCTCAAGCTGTAATTGTTCTTGAAATTTTTTTCTTTCTAGTGAGAATGGTTGTTTTTTCTTTTTCTTTTTAAAAATTAGCGAAGGACATGGTCCTTGCAACTTTTAAAGTTTTTTTTTTCTGCGTTGAACTCTGAAGCTCATGACCTTATGTGATGGTTTTCCACAGCTATTTATCATCTGTGTGTTCTTGGCCATAAGTGTTGGTTGGGCTGCTATATTTACAGCTGAACTTTTTTTTTCCAGATAGATGTATATGCACAGATGCTTTAGGATTGTTGCAGTGCACTCCCTGTCCCATGTTTGTGTGTGTGTGTGTGTTTTTTTAATGATAAATTTATTTATTTTTACTTTTAAAAAGAGAAATTATGAACTTTTTGCATTTGTTGGCTGCGCTTCTCTGGGCCTCTATTATTGATGAAGTCTTTCTTTGTTTGCTATGCGTAGGGCATTATTGTTTGTAGACTGCACTCCATGGTCTTGAACAGTATTCAGTGTCATTCATGCATATTAATTAGTCAGTGGGTAATAATTGTCATTCAATCATAATAAGGATATTAACAGTTTAATATGGTATTGGAGTCCTATTGAAATCTCCGCCAAGTCACTGAGTTCCTCCTGAATGCCAAAATATCCTTGCAAAATGGCTAATCAGATAACTTGGTTTTTATTTTTTGATTTCATTTTTTTCCAAAGAATTCCACCTGATTATTAGATGAGAAAGGGGCCTCAGCTCCTTATTTGTCTGGTTGTTTATTTTTTAAAAAAACACAAGCCAGATGATGTCATTTGGGATGGGTACGAGTTTAAAACAAAAAGCTGGCATGGTGTAAGCTTTTGAAATTGAACAACATTATGGGAATATTCCTCTTGGTCAGTATGGGTCGTATCCTTTAAAACTTGCATTGTTTGAGTATATAGTATTTTATCGGTACCTTGTGGTAAACCTTTTTCTCTTCTGTTTGCAATTTAGACAATTATTGTCTGAAATACAAATCTCATCAAAGTATCCAAACTTTACTTTGACCTTGCCCGCTCTTAGCTCGTTCTCAAACTTGGCCATCTCTTCATTGCTTCTTTCTCTACGTGCTCCATAGCTTCCTCCGACAAATCCTCTAAGTATTCGCCGTCCACATACTCCTCATCCCCATAAAGCTCTTCGTCTTCAGCCGCCAAACCTTCGAGATTTTCCAAGGGCTCATTAGCTTCTTCCTCGGCCGTGTGCTCGGCCTCTTCTTCCAACACATTAGTTTCAGCGTCGACCATAACTTGGTCTTCTTCCGCCCTAGGTTCACTTACTGTCTTATGGGGCTCATCCCCAACTTCTTGGACCATGTTTTGGTCATTTTCTTCTTTCTTCTCAACCTTGGTGGGCTGAGCCACTTTGGTCACGATCGGGGCCTTAGCGACCGGAGGCTTGACTTTTGGTGGAGCCGTCCTTGCCTTTTGAACCTTAAGACGCTTATCTCCTCTCTTCTTGGTCTGCTCACTAACTTCCATTTTAGAGTTATTTGCCTCAAAAGCCCCAGTCAAATGGGCCTCCAATTCCGAGATTGGCTCTTCCGGGGCCGTTACCACGACTCGGCCATTTACCCATTCTCGACGTATTTTCATTTCCTCGGCCGCGGCTGCCTCCAAGGAAGCGACAGCATCGGCTTTGGCCAATTCCAACTCCTCCAATCAAAGTTTCTCCCGAAGCTCGACCAATCGGTCAAGTTGAGCTTGCCTTTTGTCCGCCCAATCTAACTCCGCCTTGCAAGTGGTAGCATATTGTCTTTGAGCCCTTCTCGTTTGAGTCTTGCTTAAAGGCACCGGTGGGAGTTTTGGACCTCTGCTTCTATACCATTGACCCGCCTTTGTGTTTGGCACCTTGAAAGTTGGGACACCATTACCGTCCGCGGGGCGGGGTCTTGACACATAGGCCACATCTCGACTCTTGCCTTCTCCCACCGAAATCCACATGCTTCGGCTTCAACTTGAGTCTGGTGAATCAATGTCCTCATACCTTAGAGGGGCATGTTGATTTCTCCTCTTCGGCTGATATCTCGGCCTCTCGTACCTATCTTGGTACTCATGCAATGGCCGTTTGTTCGGCCTCACTCCCATTCCGCACCTTGGGCTATGTGGGCCGTAATTCTCGGCCGGACTTGTAATATATTCCTATCAAAACTCCTAGATCTGCCCACTTTGACTTGATCCTTGGTTTGCTCCTTAATCAGCCCATTGGTAGGTTCCTTGGTTGGCTCCTTGGACTTTGGCGAGACCACCTCGAGAGTCACCTCACATTGGCATCGACTGCATAGCACAATGGCCTTTGGAGGCTCTTCCTTGGTTGAAACTTTTGTCTCAGAAACCTTGGCCACCTCAGGGTACATTTTAGCCTTGCCCTTCTCCTCAGGGTCAGCCGGAATCTCCCTTGCCCTTCTTTCTACCGCAGCCCTTGTCGAGCCAGCCAAGTCCAACCTAGGCCTAGGTTGGTCTGGCCTTGGGAAGTTAGCATTCACCATGTTGACTTGAGCATTTGGGAAAGGGTTCTGGTCGACGCCCATTGTAGCTTTCTCCGGAAATTTCAAGATCTTCCGCTCGATGAGATCCTACACGGCATTTCGAAAAACCAAACAATTGTTAGTCGTATGAGACCACACATTGTGAAACTTGCAATAAGTTTTATTTCTAAGTTCATTAGCCGATGGAATATCATGACCATTAGATAATTTCATGATCTTTTCTTTCAAAAGTTGGTCGAAAATTTGTTCGGCTTTAGAAATATCAAATGTGTAGGACTTTGTCACGACCGCCTTTTGGGAGGTTCCACTAAACTTGGACATTTGCGCCGTGGTCGGCCTTTGATCCTTAGAGGCTTTAGACAAAGCCTTGCACACATACGGCCCTTTGGCCACAATCTCGGCCAAGTTTACCTCGGCCGACTCTTCTTCCTCCTCTAAGTAAACTTCATCACCTCTCTCTTCTGAGTCTATATCTCCAATGTCTACCGCGTGGATTGCCGTAGTCCTAGACCCGGAAGGTTTGGTCGAATCCCTATAAAATGTCGGCCGAGGTGCCGGCCGCCCTTTTTGTTGCTCCTCCTTTAGAAGAGCTTCGTATCGATCTACCCGAAGTAAGAGATCATAAATGTCGCGGAACTCAATTCCTTCGAATTTCTTTCGGAGGTCGAGCAACAATCCTCCTTGGGCCAATTTTGCAAACTCGTGCTCCGGCATATTAACTGTACACCTAGCCCTTGCTTCTCTAAATCGCCCCAAATATTCTTGGACCGACTCACTTGGCTTCTGGCTTATCTTTGCTAAGTCAGCCATTTAGAAGCTGCCCCCGTAAGGGTACTCGAAAATAGCCTTAGTTTCAAGGCCTCGCGATGCCCAATCTCGGCGCATTGGGCCGTGAATCGGCCAATGTGTTCGACGGTCGACTGAAGCCCATCTCCCGAAAATAGTGCAAAATCCGGAACCTTGAATCCCCTTGGAAATTCCTCTTGATCAAAGTGCTCCGGATATGGCCGCCGATAGACCGGCCTACCAATCCTCCTAGCATGGGACACCATATCTTGAATCATTTGTTCGACCGCACCTCGGTCGATTGCTTGATTCCCTGGCAATGGATTGTTAGCATTCCCGCCGGGGTTATTCCAACCACCGACTCCAAATTGGTTGATATGAGGCCCAACGAAATTGGCCCCAGCCCCTTGGTGAGCTTGTGGGCGAAATTGATTATATGGCGGGAACACTTGAAATTGGTTGGCCATCGCATATGGGTTGTTGCCCATTGGCGGCATATTAACCACTGGGGCTTGGTTGCCCCCAGCTAGTGGATTAAGTTGGGGCGGGTTTACTCCAAAACCATTTGGTTGGGCCTCCACTTGTGGCCCAGCCGTTGGTGCTCCAGTAGGCACCCCTTGGTTCCCATTTTGGCCATTTTGTTGGCCTAACCATCGATCAAATCTCTCACTTTGAGTGGCCATCGTTTGGGCCATAGTCTCCATGACACGCATGAGTTGCTGGAATTCCAATGAAGTGGCCGGATTCGGCCTCAATACTGGTCCCCCGGCGACTTCCGTAATATCTTCAGCTACCACTTGATCGTGGCCGACGGCCGTGTTTCTGCCAGGGCCATTTTGCTCTTGTTGAGTGGCCGGAACATTTTGCGGCTGAGTATTCGTAGGGAGTGAACCAACCATCTGATTATGCCCAAAGTGATGTGAATCCCTCCGACGGATTACTTGGGTGATGGACATGACCCCAAGTCATCTTTCGCCCAAAAATCACAAACTTCCACCTTTGTGGC